TCCGAACCACGCTGCTGTCTGTCGGGACAGACCGGAGCGAGCGTCCTGTTGATCGCGGGTTAACGCTCGGCTCCACCGCCGGCGAGTCGCTCGTTATTTAGGTGCTCTCTAATGCATGAATCGCACCGGGACACCATTCCTCACATCTGTAAACTTCAGTCTTCCTATGAACACTATCACAGGCTGGCTCACACAAACTTGCTGAGAGAGCCGGAAGGCGGCGTGGGATCGCATTGCACGGAACGATGGAGGATTTGTTTTGGTACGCCAGACTGGGACAGTGTAGAGGGGGAGAGTGAGTCCCTGCGCCCCCTTGTGGAGGATGACAAAATAGGCCGAGACAGGATTAGATAGAGGATATTGGTCACGTGAGAACCTGTTGCGTGGTTCTCCTAACTTCCCAACGCACTTTTTAATAATGTCAAATTAGACGTTTTATTCAGTGGTCACATAATATGCAAATTAATAAATAAAATAAAATCTCGTTTAGTGTTAAGGATTTGGTTCCTGTTTTTTTCTTTAAAAATATTTATTTCGTTTAATATTACATTTTAATTATTAGCTTTTCATCAAACCCTGAAATAAAGGCATATTTAATGAATTCATATTGTTTACAAAAAAAGAATGCAATGTTTTTTTTTTCTTTGTACTTTCATTTAAGAGATGGTATAAAATAGTCTTATTGAAATCAATGTGAGAAATAGTTTGGGTCAAAAATAATCCAAAAGAAATCAAGAATTGTCACGGTGCCTACTGTGTTGGAGCGAGGACCGTGGAGAACGCAGGAGAATTACAAGCAACCGTCTTTAATAATCCATATAGGAAAAACACATGTAGCACAGGTGATTGATGTTTAAGACTGGACGCAGGACTCAGGAAAACACAGGACTTAAATACATGAACTAAATGGGGAATAAATGGGACACAGCTGGAATCAAATGAACACAATGGGAACAGGAACAGGAAAGAGCAAATAAGAGCATAATCAAACATGGTGGAAAACTAAGACATGGAGCATGTGGGGGAGGAAAACAAACACAAAACCGTCCATGGGTGTGACAAGAATACGTTACCTAAAATGTGTAATCTACATTATATTATTATTGTTGTTGTTATATACATTGCATAATATTATACATATTATAAATAAATATAATAACAATAATAATTGTATTATATATTGGAATAATAAATAAACAGAATGAAATTCAGTATGTCTAGTTGTCTACCTGTAAATATTAGATTTAAGAGGGTAATATTCTTTTAGTATGTACTTGTAGGCTATATTTCAACATCTATGTATTTATTGTAGCATTTGGACCAATCAGACACACAACTTTTTGTTATATTTAACAAATAATATTTATATATATATATATATGCATTTTTTGAGGGAAACCACCCATTAACATTTTGACCTCAGCTCTGTGAATTTAGTAAGGGCCTGAGCGTTGTCCAGAAATTAGTCAATCAAGTGAACTTCAGGGAAAAGCGTGTGCAGGAATTTGACATGAAACATTGTTACACAATGCTGCATGTCACACACCAACACCCTTCTGCTGTAAATATAAAAACCTTCTTTACCTGCTGTGTTATTATGAGTGCAAGAGTGGATCATTTGATAGCACCTGTTGTAACTCATTTCATTTTTTTATGTAAATGTATACTATACGTTTTGAATAAAATTGTCCAGGTTTGAGGATTTAAAAAAAAAAAAATCAATGTTCTTGAGCAAATTGTGTATTTTATGCAGAACTTTCTAAACTTAAATGCATTTTGTAAATTTTACTTGAGCTCATAAAATTAATTTCAGTGTAAAAATCATAATCTTAATAATAATTCATAATAATAATGATTCAGCTTTCAAACTCTAATGATTCAAATTCATTAACATTCAAAACTGTTCTGTGGAATTTTTGTCTGAAAGATGTTTCATCAACTAAACAATTTGTATGTTTTTAAACAACAGTTCAATCCATTGAACACACTGTATTTCCCTCACACGCTTGTTTTTATTACTGTCAAAAATTAAATATGGCGCTACCCTGAATAAGGTCTATAAGAGCTGAAATCACCCTGGCTTATCCCAAATAGCACAATTCATGTGCACTAGCTGACTTGCAGACAATGTCTGTTAAGTCCACAAGACTCTATGCCAGGGTTCCTCAAATCCAGCCCTGGATGTCCGCTGTTTAGTTCCAAACCTAATCAAACACACCTGACCAAGCTTATCAAGGTCTTCATAGTTACTAAAACAGTACAGGTTAGGTTGTAAATAGCTACTTTAAGCAGTTAGCTTAAGTGCTTTATTTTTTTTACTGGGCTTTGTGAATATGAAAAAATCATGGCAAACTTTGCCAAATGTCTGCTATCAGAGAGCATCTCAATCTTGAATATCGATCTCAAAATCATAGCCTATTCACTACTGGAAAGGGTTTAAATATGGAAAGATGCTGGAAAACCAAAGAATGTGCAGGACCTGGAAGATGTTTCTGATGAACAGTGGGAACAGTTGAACTCAGGACAAACAAGGGACTCATGAAAACAACCATCATAAAACATCAAACATCTAAGTATAATGACACAGTAAGAATCAAGCATGTAAACTTTTGAACTGATTTTGTGGACTATAAACATCTGTTATGTGAAGTAGCTACATCAGGGCAGTACTAAATAAATAACAATAATAAAAAAAGTATTTTGTCAGTTTGTTTTGTGTTATATAGTAGGTTATGTGTTAAGTTTACAAATGCAAAAAGTGCCTAGTTATGTCATTGTTTCATTTATGTAATTGTATACCGCAATTTGAAAGACTCAAAGTAAATAATGTCCAGCATTCAAAAATGTTACACTGTTTCATCTCGACTGTGAAAGTTACAGAAAGTGACGCTAACAGGTGATTATAAAGTAGTGTTTTGAATGGAGGTATTTCCTGTAGCCAGCAAAGGGGGCAGTTACACTTTAAATAACGGCAAGTTTCGCATTCAGAAGGAAGTAAACATAAAAAGCTTCTGATTTAGCATTTAATGATTTGACTGAAATTATTAAATCCAGAAATTATTTGAATCATATGTTCACAAAAATAAACTCATGTCTTACCAAGAATATTTTGAAGGTCAGTGGTTCCCATCCCAACTCTACACATTTAGTCTCCCACAAAATATACGAAGGTTAGTTTGGTTGCTCCACACTGACCTCCTCAGCTTGAGTGTAGCCTCTGAACACCAGCTAAACTTTTACACAGATAAAAGATCTGAACGCTGATAACAGTTTTGTGAACAAAGCTTTAATTTGCCATCTTATGAATGGTAAAATATTGCCTTTTTGTAATTTTCCCTTGTTTTCTTCTTTGAACAATGTCAAAACGTTGGATGTTTTTCATATTAAACTGAGTTTTTATAGTGTCTGGTGAGTTGCATCACTTTTTTTTCTGTATATAAAGGAAAATTCAATTTCTCAATAATTCTGATGACTACACAATAGACACTATTGTAATATGCTGTAATTAAATGTTCATTTACTTGTGTGATGTATTAAGTATGAACATGCCTGAAATACAGAAAACAGCATGAACATTGACCATAAGCTTGTGCATCCCAAGTTGCAAACAATAGTGTGATTAATTTGTTCACACTGAAAAGTCCTGTAAGACAAAGTGCTTTTTAAATACCCGGATAATGCATTTAACTAAAAACAAAGTGTGGAATGCAGGACACTTCATGCAGTTAATTGTTGCAGCTTTAATTACATAGCAGAGGGGGAGGGGCTGATTATAAATTACGAAATAATCTTCTAGAATTCATACACTACATGGATGAGTAGGCCTACATAGTGTATAGGCTAGTGCGTCATTTGGGACGAAACTTGTGATTTTAGCTAAATCTTTATTCTAAAGCATAATGACTGTCATGATTTTAAAAACATGCTGTAACTTAAAAGTGAATTTGTGTAGTTGTTACATAAATAATATAGTCAAGTTGATTTTGTGATATTAAAATCTATTTTTGACTTCTAATTTAGAGAAAGCATATTTTAAAGTGCCCCTATTATGGATTTTTGAAAATTACCTTTCATGCAATGTGTAACAGCTCTAAGTGAATAAAAACATCCTGCAAAGTTTTAAATCTGAATTGTCTCTCAAAAGAAAGAGTCGACTCTGAATCTTTGAAACGAGTCGTTTTTCAAACGAATCCCAAGCCGTTTCGTGTTGACCTCAACATGAAACATTAGCATATTGCCCGCCCACTTGTTGGTCTTTTCGCGTTGGTCTGAATGAAAATGCAAACTCATTCTTTGCCACTAGGTGCCGCTTTTAGAGCGGTAAAAATAGTGGTTTCCCCGGTAACGCTGAACTCAAAGTGCTGCTTTAACAGGCATTACCGTGCGTTCACACCGCCGGCGGTGAAAGCGTCAAAGTGGCCTGAAGTAATACATTTTCAATGTGAGCCAGCGCGTCTTGGACGGTGAGGGTGACGGTCAAAGAGAGTTGAAATCAGGGCTGCGTTCAGCTCCGACAAAACAGTGCAAAATGTTTTTTAAACGGAAACGGTGGTGCGTTGAACACCTTGTTCTGATGACGGCTAAATACAAATAAAAGGTGAACATTAATTTATTTGTTTATTTGTTTTTTCTAAAATATTATGCAGTTTTATAGGAGGAATTTTCATATACTTGGCAAATTCATTTTTCATAAGTTTGTAGGTAGATGTCTGTTGTGGGTGTTCTTGGCAGTTTTTATGAGGCAGTTTTTAATAGTGTTCATATCAATATCGGAATGATATCGTATCGAAATTAAGAAATATATCATGATATACATTTTGGCCATATTGTCCAGCCCTAACCTGATGAATAATGTTTGCATTGATTGTACTATAATAGCTCTTTTGGTTTAGATTTGTTTTTTTTTGCACTGCTCATACTTCCTGCTCAACCAGTATTGGTCACATTACTTCAGGTTACTTCAAGGTGGTTTGCGTTTTTTTTTCTTCTGTTTTCTTCTAGCTTGTTGCTTGACTTGCTTGAAAGTACCTCTCTCAGGAAAGTGGTTCGAATTATGTAATAAAAGTCAGGTAAGACATTTTATATTACTTTTGCTTGACAAATGCAAAATCAATTTAAAAAATAGTACGTGCCAAATGTGAGCATTGGTGTCATTCCGTCTGTTTAGTAATAGCTTTACGTCTTGACTAATTTTAACTTATTTTACTACATCACTTCCATATATTTTCATTACCTTTTTATTTATGACATGAAAAGGTAATGAAAATATATGGTAGTGATTAGTTGCACAACTAATTCATTGTGTTGGGTAGTTAAGAGTCTGTTGTACATTACAGATTGAAAGGAACAGACATTGAAGAGCTAAAGAACATTGTTGTATAAAATGAGTCCTCAGTTGAGTTTTGAGTGCGTGTAGATGTATTCAGTAACTCGTGAGTTTTGGCAGTTACTGTATACAGTGGGTATGGAAAGTATTCAGACCCCCTTAAATTTTTCACTTGTTATATTGCAGTCTAGTTTAGTTTAGTTCCAACTTTCAATCCTGCTTCAGCACACACCTTAAGCCTGAAAGACTTGTTTAGCTGGATCAGGTGCATTTAATTAGAGTTGAAGTTAAACTCTGCAGGGCTGTGGCCCTCCCAGAACTGAGTTTTGCACCCCTGGTCTATGAAATTCAGCCTGGGTAATGAGTTAAAGTTTGTACTCTGGAGCTCTAAACCTTCCCATAGTTGTTCTTCACTGTTTGTGGTTATTTCTGGTTTGTTCATTTCAATAACACCTGTGTACATTTGTCTTTATTCATCACTGCTCTCCAGCCAGTATGTAGGCCTAGTGATTTAATTTTGATTTGATTTTACTGCTTAAGTTACAATTATTATTGTGATGAATTTGTGTTTTGTACCATCTTTAATCAGTCATACATATATTTCATTACCATTCAAAACTTTGGGGTCGTTAAGATTTTTTTATGTTTGTGAATGAAGTCTCATGCTCACCATACATTAATTTGTTAAAAAATACAGCAAAAGCAGTAAACATAACTGTTTTCAAAATTAATATATTTTAAAATGAAATTAACTCCTGTTTTACATTTTAAATGAACTCCAAATCAGGGATCAGCTTCAAAATCTGAAGTTAAGACAAATTTATTTGTATCTTTCACAATAAATATGTTTCAAAACAGAAATTGTCTAAGGAGCTGAATCACAGAGGTCAGGGAGCTGAAGAACGTGGAACACTGATGTTAATGTGACAGAAAACAACAGAAAGAGCAAAGACTATCCTCCAGAGTGTGAGTCATACAATACCTGTATTTATGACAGGATGCTCTGAAATATTCTTTTTCAACAGCACTGTGGTCTTTTCTTCTCTGCAAATAATCCTCTTTCATATGTAAGTTATGATTCACATTGTAAGTTTAGACCATAGTGAAATATTCTTGCATAGTCCTGTGTCTTTTCTTTTCTAGTCAGTCCCGAAAACACATCAGTGCCAGTAACAGAAGCCAGTATCTCAGATGACTCGAGGTTGAAATGTTGGTGTTCTGGTGAGTGAATGTGTATCTCAAGTCCTTCATCCTTCAGTTATAGAATTGATGTGCTGAAAAGGCACAATTTGCATTTAGTAATATTTTTGTAATCAACAATTTCCACACAGAGATATTCGGTCCAAACCAAAGACCGACGATATGGAGGGCAAGATGGAGTGAGAGAACATATGATGACATGTGTGAGTATCCAGTTGACCATCAAACACATCACTTAAACTGAGTATAATGTAATACTTAAAAGGGTTAGTTCACCCAAAAATGAAAAGTAGGCTGTGTTTTACTCACCCCCGACGCATCCTAGGTGTATATGACTTTCTTCTTTCAGACGAATCCAGTCAGAGTTATATTAAAAATTGTCTTGATCTTTCAAGCTGTTTAATGCCACTCAGCGGGTTTTGCAGTGCTTCAGTCCAAAAGAACTTAAATAAAAATCACCCATCCATAAAAAAAAGTGTCTCACACGACTCCGGGGGGTGAACAAAGGCCTTCTGTAGCGAATCGATGTGTTTTTGTAAGAAAAATATCCATATTCAAAATATAATAATCACTTTAATGTAGCTTGCTCCAACAGTTGTACACAGAAGCAGCTCCGGGCGGATGAAGTTTGAGTTCAGCGTGAAAACCAACGTTTGTTAACAGGAGCAAAGGAAGTAAAGTTTCCTTACTTTAGCAAAGGAAAACCAGTCTCCTCTTGGCTTGTATCGAAATCCCAATTTTTAATATAACTGGATTTATCTGAAAGAAGAAAGTCATATACACCTAGGATGCCTCGGGGGTGAGTAAAACGCAGTCTAATTTTCTTTTTGGGTGAGCTAACCCTTTAATAACAACAATAAAAGCTGCCGCATGATCCTAACCTCACAGGGTTTTATGCATTACATTTATTACAACATAAAAACAAAAATGTTAATCTGATTGCCTTTTCTTCACAGTACCTGAAAGAAAGACCTCCAGCAGCACCATCAGTTCGTGTGACTCAGGATATGCTTCAAGAAAATGCAAAGGTATTTTCTCCATCCCTGAAAATGATGCAATAAGACAACACCCACAATTTGCATTTAGTACGATTTTTGTAATCAGCATTTTCCACAGAGATTTTCACTCCCAAACAAAGACGATATGCAGTGCAGGATGGGATGAGAGAACATGATGACATGTGTGAGTATTCAACTGATAGTGAAACGCATCACTTAAACTGAGTACAAAGTGACGCTTAACATCAACAATAAAAGCTGTCACGTGATCCTGAAAGTAAACCTCAGAGAGTTTATGCATTACATTTATAACTGATAATTTAATATGAAGACAAAAAAACAAAAGTTAATCTGAATGCCTTTCCTTCACAGTACCTGGAACAACAACCTCTTCCAGCACCAATTCATTTGACTAAGGATATGCTTCAAGAAAATGCACATCCATTTTCTCCATCCCTGAAAATGCCAAACAGAACAAACAAAAAAATGTGTCAACTACGAATAAGACCAGCAGTAGAGACAAAGTTGTTTGTCCACTCCAGGTGCCACTATGACCAGCCATGAGTAAACAGTAATGAGGCTCTCTGAATGTAGTCACGGCCCTGATCATATTGTCCAGAAATTTGTAATTTGAGAGTCGACTTGGAGGAAAAGTGCATACAGGCATCTGAAGTGAAACATTGCTATAGTGTGCAATGTAGATCATGCAGCATGTCACACAAAAACACCCTTCTGTAGAGCTTGTTTTACCTGCTGGGGGGGGTGGATTTGTGTGCTTGCGCGTGCCTCAAAAGAATGACTTACAAAGATACATAACAGCTACAAGTGTATGCACTACTTGTAGCACTATATAGGATAAATCACTATACAGGATTTACCCTATTATACTTTATCGACACAAATTGATAGGTGAAACAACAAACAGCCACCCACAAATAGTCTATAAACAAAGCATCAGGCTGTCTTTGAGTTCACATGAACAACAGTTAAAGTTACTCGTCGTCAGGCTACAGAAGAATACCATAATTCCTCCGTTCAATTGGGCCTACGACATCGAGAGTCACGCAGACCTATAACAACCCAGCCACAACACATAATTGCGAATAACATGCCTTACCATAACACAGAATCGGCCACAGAGTCCAACATTTATATTTTTTCTACGAATCTTTAAGTTAACACATTGTCAATATTTTTTGAGACCCCCCAAAACTTCACAAATCACGTTTTCAGGGGAGCCCATGTCTTATTAAGGGGAGCCGAGCTCCCCCTAGCTCCCCCGTAGTTCGCACCCTGTATATACTGTATGTTTTGTCCACTGAATACAATTGCAGAAGTATGGGGATTTCGTTTTTTCCCCCTTATGTTTTTGAACAGCTTGTCTATTTTATACAGTACTTTATCAAATTAAATGTATTTTTAATGCATGTTTAAATATTTTCTGTGTAAAAGTCATTACCTTGGCTATGTTATTTAAAAAATAAACCATATAAACTGTAAACCTGTTTGTGTGACTGATTTGAAGATGACCCAGAGCTCACTGATAGCTTTGTTGAAAATGTTGTGTTTGAAATGTAGTTTCAAAAGCATAAATTTCAAATCTACATAACATGTCATTATTCAGAAAAAGGCCTTGATAACTCTTTCTTACTGTATAAGTGACATTGTACAGTCGGTCATTATCATAAAATACAACAAATATATAAAAGTTGCACATGAAAGTCTGACAACGTAGAAAACAACCAAGAACCAAGATGAGCACAGCAACAATATTTGAATATTAATTTATAATTTTATATTATTATTAATCTGCAGTCCATGTTACATAGGAGATCGGTTGCCTGGCAACAGCATTGCCCACCTGATGCTCACTATTTTTTACAGTGCATTGTGGAGTTTCAGGGAGCAGACCTGGAATGGACAATACCAAAATGTTTAAATATGATACAGATACATTTTCTTACAGTTTTGATACCAATGCCAAATATTTCTTAAATGGGTATGTGATTTTTCAAAATCATGTTCATTTTTAGAAAACAAACAAAATAAATAATTCCACTTAAAGGCAAATCTGTCATGCCACATGGGCCAGCTAAATATGTTGGGGTGTTTTGGCACAAAAATTAAATAAAAGTACTGAAAACATTTGAAAGTGATGCAGAAACCCATGTTTTTTATTGATTTATACCATGGTCTGCCTGAATACTCAATTCTAATTGGCTGGCAAGTATGCATTAAGTAAGGAATAATTGGCAACGGGCCATTGAATTATTAGAATATAATGCACACCCAGGGCCGGCCCAAGCCTTTATGAGGCCCTATGCAGAATTTTATTTGGGGGCCCCTTGGTGCCGCCAATATGACAGTTTTTTGTCTAAGCTTGATTATTCACACACTATAAATCTAACACACCCATTATCAATTTAGTTAGTTGTAGCAGTGTTGCTTACATCATACGTCTTACGTCTGCCGGCATGTTTGAACCCTTCTACGATTTTCAGTTGTACCGGTTGCAAACTTACAAGAGTGGCCAGGTGTCAATTTGCACTTTAACATTCAAAGTCTTAAAGTATTAAGTGGCATACTTAATGTGGTGTGCTGAAAAGTAGCTAAATAAACCAGCAGACAATGCATTTACAGAACAGAATGTTATTTTGACAACATAAATATTCATCGAAGTTGTACTTTTATTTCAAGTCATAGTTTTTTATAATAAATATTAAACAGCTAGCTAATTGAGGCATAATGATATTGGAATATAGCTAAGACCCAAAATGTAGGCTAAGGTAAATAATGTTAAGCTGTTATCAGTTTATGAAACAGAAGCTTATTTTTATTACAAAAAATATATACCCAGGAAAGTTATTTTTACGCAGAAGACAAAAACTTTAATCTAAAACTAAGTAAAATGTTATATTATAATATATTAAGGTGTCTATTTGATGATGTTTTGATGTTCAAACATGAACTTCCCTAAAACAAAAAGATACCCTATGCTAATTATCGGGGGGGAATTAGTCAAAAAGCTATGGGAACCGTCGAAACAGTGCCTTGTTCCCTCGGGGAACCATGGTTACATGCTTAACCTGGAGACGTTTTTCACTGTAAGGGAACATACTGTTAACCAATTAACACATTCTTACCATAGCATTTTTGCAATATTTTACCATTAAAATTACAGTGTATAAGATAATTTTGCACAATGCAGAACATGCTGCATATCAAACACCCTTTTGTTTTAGTATATGAGCACAAGAGTGGATGAATTTTAAAAGTACCTGCTGACTTTTTTTTTTTTTTTTTTAGTATTTACATATTTGTCCAGTAAATAAAGTTGTCCAAGAAATTAAGATTAAGAATTCTGTTTTAGAGTTTAGATGATGGGCTTTGCCTGCTGTCACTGTCTAAATATTATAAGCATTTTATAATACATTCTGATTTGCTGATTCATTCAGAAACAAAGCAAATGAAGCAAGTCTTTAATACTGAATCATTGGCTCATAATATATGTAATATTTGCATTAAGGTGTGTACTTTAAAGAAAAAAACATGAAAAATGCAAACATTACAAAAAATGCATGTGTGTTAAAATGTGTGCATCTATAAAATATGCACTTGCATTAAAATTTGAAATGTGCATTAAAAACAAGCACATTACAGTGTACAAAAATATGTCAAAGTAAAGACTTACTTAAAAGACTTGCGTCTGTTTTCCCATATCTGCAATTCTGCATTTTTTTTTCACATGTATATGAAGGTGAATCCTTTCTGATTTACCTGCCACCCAAATACTAATAATTTCTGTAATAAGAGCATCTGTGCATGTCAACAACATACCAGGATCATGGTTTTGTCAGCTGGAGATTCAGTGTATTAGACATGCATGAACATCTTTATTCTAAAACACTTTTAAACTGACTTGTGTCGATGTAAGCTGTAGTCAAGTTGATTTGGTCATATTAAACCATAATTTTAACTTCTAATTTAGCATTCCAAAGTTCCATTTTTTAGGTTAGAAATGTTACCTGACAAAATGTTTGTGTAGGATGTCTCTTTAAAAGACCATTTTAAATCTCAGTAGTAACCGTTTACTATTTATACAACTTGTTGAACCAGTATTATTGGTTCTCATGAGAAATTGCAAGTTTGAATTCCTACTCATAATCATTTCTTCTAGCTTGTTGCTTGACTCGGTCTGAAAGCACCTCCCTACTCTCTAAAAGAATGATGTGAAGAAAATTTGTTACTTTCATTTGTAAAATATATACATTTTAATGACTTTTTAAAGACCATCTTAATGTTACTGGCATTTATATTATTAAAATCAAATTATGTACCATGGAAAATAAGGGTTACATTAAGAGACTGATGTCAGAGTAAACCATAACAGATTCTAGTTTACATGTAATGGATGTTTTCAAGATCAGTTAGCTGAAGAATCTGAAGTTGATTTAGTCATTTGTGTTGTGGAATAGGCATTTGCAATAGCCAGCAGAGGAGGCTGTTTCACTTGAAATCAAGATTTAAACATCTATTTTAATGGATCTAGAGTGCATCTACAAGTGTATAAAGAATGAAATCCATTAGCTTAATTGTAAATCTGTAAATAGAAGATTGTAGAAGGGAATATTCTTGTAGGATGCTATATTTTCATATCCACTCTGACAGGGACAAAAATCTTAGCAAAACAGTCAAACGTAACAGAAAAGTCACCACTCAGGATATGCTTCAAGAAAAGACAGACCATTTACTTTGCAACTTCTTTAAAAATGATGAAAATCACACTGCAGATGAGAATGAAGTTCAGCTGAAAATCATTTGGTGCAAGATTTACTTTGAAACACTTTTCACTCAGAAATTGCTAGTAAATTTCACGAATAATTACAACCGGCAAGTAAGAAAACATACTGAAATAAACTTGAAAATTAGAAGTAGAAAGAATGAAATAGTATTTTCTTGTAAATAAAATACTCCATTATTCTTTGTTTTATTTAATTTCCTAAAACAAAAGTGAAAAGAAAGAAAGAAAAAGAAAAAAAATAGCTCTGCATAAGGCCAGCAGCACAGACACAAAAACGACAACCATTATATTACACAAATGTAGCAACATGGCTGGATGTGTGGCCCTGCAAATATCTAAAATGTGGTTGGTGTAAACGGATCCCAGCAAGAAGAGAAGCTGGTTTGTTTGAATGTAAGTCAAAGGAGGAGGAGCTTAAGCAAGCTTCATAAACTGATTTTCTGTGGAAACAGCCTGTCACCTAATAAACTGACAGAAATGGTATCTAATGTCTGCCATTAGATATTCATTTTGGAGTGAACTGCTCCTTTTATTAACAGAATCTCTGGCATCACACATGCATCTCCCCATTTATTGCCTCTCATCGGCAAACAGCATGCATGTGGTTTCAGTCTAATTAGACAATTCTGGAAGATCTACCCCAAATAATAATAGTTTTGGCCCCAGGTAAGTTACATTACAACCATCTACAGAGTAACACAAAATAAATAAATTGCGTAACTTACTGTACCTTTAAATAAAGTCGGAGTCGGTGTGTGTGAACGTGTTTATTTTCGAATAAATCGCTGTCGAATGCGCCGTGAAAGTTTTGTGTGATTGGTGCGTAAATATTGACAAGCAAGTCTCTTAGGTTGCTGCAGAAGTACAAATACAATGTTTTTAAGTGGGCAATTTTGTTAATTTCCATACTAGAATTTTAAATGTAAATAGACTTTTAAAACTTCCATAGCAACACTAATTAGAATATTGATCAAGCAGAACGAAGTGTGATGTCACCAGTCATG